GGGTTGATGTTAACGGCGATGAAGTTTTTTATTTCAGCAATTGTTGTCTTCTTAATTTTAACATTTCTCTGGGTCAGGTTCTTGGGTAGTGCATGGTTTGTATAATGTAGTATGGTACCATTACTACCCTTTGTCGCTTTCCATAAGGAGTAATTTGTAACCTTTGTAGCACTCGATCTTGAGATAAAATTTGATACTAGATAGGAGCTCTAGATACTTGATAGATTTTTCTCAACTTTCTTTTTTGTTCTATTTTATGTTTGATGTGATTCGGGACAAGTATTACATTTTTGGTTTTTGTTATTGGTTTATATGCAGATGCTGCAGATAATAGTAGAGAATTGAAATTGATTATTGCATTATTTATTTCCTCTTCTGTTCTTAGAGCTACATTTATAACTAATTGTTCTTCTATTACCTCGCGATATGTATCCCAACACGTTTTATAATTGTATTTCAAACAAAATTATTACTATACAAAATAATACAAACAAATTATTACTATACAAAATAATATAAACAAATTATTACAAACAAATTAATACAAGCAAATTAATTAATACAATTCATATAATAAAAGCAAAAATAGTAATGATTTAAAACAATTTTTAATATTCAAATAAATATGATTACTTTGTAACTTAATCAAAAGAAATTAAAAATTTAAATACAAAAAAAACTGATGATTTAAAAAAAATGGCGAAATCGTACCCGTTAGAATAGCTGGCAGCTGATGGGGGTGGAAAATTGCAGACTGTCCTTTTCCGGTCAGCACTACTTAAGAAGGGATATGCCGTAATCTTTAAGTTGATAAAAAAAACTCTGTGCCGCTTTATATGATTTTTGTAATTCACGCTATTGGCAATTAAAAGCACTCAAATATTGGCGAATTGTTTTTAATAACTGGTTTTTGATTTGATTTGATTTTTGATGTGAGTTCCAAATTTTCAAGTTAATAAAAAAAACTTCGTTTGCGTCAGTTTTTATGCTTTTTGTAATTCACATTATTCTTCCTTTTTTTATAAAGTTTATGCTTAATCAGTATTATTTCTTAATTTTATTGTTCACAAGCACCAGCCAAAAAATTTTCATAGCTAAAAAACTTCTTTCTTTTAATCGTTTAAATATTCTCCAAAAAAAAAACTTTTATTCTCAAAGAAAAATACTTCATAAAAAAAAACACAAAATGACCAATTCTCTTCAAAATTATGACTAGAATCCTGAAATATTTTCCGCTTCTATTTTTTATATCCCCGCTAACACCAGTAACTGCTCTCCCTTAAATTTTTTATTTAGTTACCAATCTTAGGGGGCTAAAAAATACTTTCCCCTTTTGTTGCTACAAACTTTTGTTTTGGTTTTTCTACATTCCAAATATCAAATACAAACCCCTAATTTTATTTGTCTTGCCGAATTGGCAACGCTATGGCAAGTTCGGAATGCATATAAGGCTTTCGCTGCGATCTTGTAAACCAAAACAAACGAAGTTAAGAAAAATAGAAAAAGTCTTTCTATTGCTATTTACTACTTTTCTGCATGCGTGTGCAATGCACATCCTAATTAGTATAGTTTAAAATAATAAATGTTAAAAAAAATGTGAAAACAAAAAAAAATGTGTGCATTAATATAAAAAAACTAATACGAAAAATGTGGTCTTATCTCAGGGACAAGTGTAAACCAAAAACAAAAAACCATGTGCTGTGCGGAAACTACACGAAGCGCTCTTGGACAGTGTGGGATAAACTAGATAATGTCGTGAATTTTATTCATACGTTCAAACGAGGTGTTCGAGTGATATGTTTAACTTGCTTATGTTGTAAGTCAGGCACGTAGACGCCACAGTACTCCGCCTCTAGTGAAGCTAAAGTGCGAAACGAACTCTTTTGCCGAAACGGAGTCGTGTTGCTTCACAATCGCTGTCATCTAAATTGAGTATGCATGCTGGTTGTGATTTGTCTGTTGATATAAACCTCTCCTTACCGTCGATTAATATTTTAAATGCCATCTTGGCTCTTTCTAGTACTTTATATGGTCCATTGTAGGGGTTCTGTAATGGATTTTTAACAGCATCACATCTAACGAATGCAAATGCATACTTGTGTAATTCAGGATGTACGAATTTCGTTTGCTTCGAGTTATGCGTGGTAACGACTGGTTGTAAATTGTTCACGTTGTTTCTGAATTCTGCATCCATTCTGTCGTAGAAGGTGTGTTGTTATCAGGCTGAAATAAATCACCAGGAAGTTTAAGAGTAGTTTCATAAACCATCTCTGCAATTGCAACGTCCGCATTTTGAAGTATTTTGCATCTTGGACCCAGCAACATTTATAGTATTGCTTCAGCCCAACTACATATTTCGTGACATTTTAAAGCGGATTTAAATGTTCTATGCCATCTTTCAATTAGTCCATTGGATTGTGGATGATACGGAGTCGTATGAATCACTTTAGTACTTAAGCGCTTCGTTAATTTTCGGAAAAGTTGCGATTCAAATTGCCTACCTTGGTCTGAAACTATTTGTTTTGGTACTCAAAATCATGAAATCTATGTCTGCATAAACGCATTGACAACTGATTCTGATTCTGTTATATCTTCTATGGGCAATGCTTCTGACCATTTGGTAAATCCGTCAAAACTAGTGAAAACATTTCTGTATCCTTGAGACTTTGGTAACGGGCCCACGATATCTATATGTACATTGCTAAAGCGTTGCGTTGGAAGCTGAAATTTGCTGACTGCTGTTTTAGTATGTGGTTAATTTCAGCCTTCTGACATGCCATACATTGTCTTGTCCAATCTGCCACATCTTTTTTTAATGACTGCCACACATATCGTTGCTTTATTAAATTGGTTGCTACCTTTACACCAGGATGACCTAGAGAGTGGTTTGCGTCGAAAATTTTTCTCCTAAATGAAGAAGTGATATATGGGCTTATCTGTGACGTTGAGGTATCATAATATAACGCACAGTCCATATCCGGTAAGGTAATTGCTTTCAATATTAGACCTGAATCTGAAGATTTTCTAAGACGTTGCAATTCTTCGTCAGTTTGCTGTTCATCATATAGTTGTTTATAATAAATTGGTGTTGGCAATGATATGGTCATCACTGGTATACTGCGAAATAAAATCCAAATGTCTTAAGTGTCTGTATGACGCCTTCTGTGGTTTTTGCTTAAACGCAAAAATTAAAGTTTTGTGGTCAGTAAAAATTGTAAACTGTCGACCTTATAAAAAATATAAGAAGTGTTTTATTACTGCATAAATCGCTAATAACTCCTTATCGTAAGCACTGTATTTCATTTGTGTGTTCGTTAGTTTTTTCGAAAAAAAACTTAACGGCTTCCACTCGCCGTCAATTTTTTGTTGCAGTACAGCTCCCAGCGCAAAATCTGATGTATCAATTGTCAATGAGGTAATTGCACTATGTTTTGGATTCCCCCTGCGGGATAGGGGTTAGAATATTACCGCGGTAAGGTATGCCTGTCGTAAGAGGCGACTAAAATCCAGCCAGGCGTCGGAGGGTGTGGCTGAAAAGGTCACAAAATCCCTGAGAAGCCCCTGAGCTGAGCCGAGTAGACGCCAGTCTAAATAAGCGTCCTCCATCCCGGGATGGCAACGAGGGTCATCCAAGTGCGCAGAGAGTGACTAAACAGCTGTGCACCATCGAGGGATGCAGCCGTGTGCACTGTCCTAAGAAAAGGCGGATGCAACAACGATGGAGTCCTTTCATGTTTAACAGGTTAGGTATGAAAGAGGAAGAATGCATGCTAAGACAGACAAGCAGTGCATAATAGTTATAATTTTAGGGTTCAAACACCCATCAGGATCGAGTCCAGTAAGATCCTGATTATGGCATACTGGAAGATATGAATTTGGTAGAAATTAATTACTCTTGGGCTGGTGAGGGTGTCATTCTGGAACCTGAGTACTTAGAAGTGAATCTCTAAGGAAATGGCTTCTGGGTTAATGGCATTCTTGCCCCCGTCCCGTTAAAACCCTGGCAGGCCTGGAGAAACGCTCCAACACTGACACTGTTAATTTGGTGGTGCAGGCTCAGTTGAGTATACTCCTGACTAGCACTGATCCGGCTCTGAACGTACACTCTCATAAGGAGGTACGTCAACCCTCGCATGGAACTCCCTGCATGCAAAGACAACCATGGGATCATAAAGGTGACTGCACATTCAATGAACGACAACGAACTCGAGTGGGGACCCAACAAAATGAATACAGAAATAATAAAACAAATAACAACAAAAACAATTATGGACGAGAAGGATGCTGATAGCGTGCCCAATCACGCTGACAGCATGGACGTAGGGGCGCGCACGGCGGTTACCACATCGGTTACCACACCGGGGACTGTGCCTATCGTCTCTAAAACGTGCTTTCCCCAAGGGACAGCAATAGCAATGTGTCAGGGGTCTATAAAGACTCCGGAAAATGCCTTCCTTAGCCTGGGAAGTAAGATCCGATCTCTCATTGAAATGGTAAATGAGACGCAATCGGATGGAAAGAGGCGCAGAGCCATCCATCAACCGATGAGAGATGTGATCGACGGCATCAAACTTCTTTACGAAGTGGCAGCGATCGAATTCCAAGACAAAGTGGCTAGGGAAACCGTCAAGTCAGACTGTTGCTCCCAAACCTCCCCCTGGTTGAGACTCCAGAATCTAGCAATAGATGCCAGGAGACTCCAGAAAACCGATTCGCCTACACAAGACACTCCTGCTGGGCAAACAGGGAAAAAACGCCAAAGAAAATACAAAAAAAAGGCGGAAGGCTTAACAGCAAGAATAATGGATGACACGACCGCCACGCACCCCGTATCTGTTAAAAAAATCGAAAAGCACTCTCAGATAAAAAAAATTAATAAAACACAGGAGTGGAAAAAGGTCGAAACAAAAAAGAAGCAGCGCTTGCGGTCCAAGCCAGATGCAATCATCATCGCATCTACTGCGGAGAAAAGTTACGCGGATATCCTTAGGACCATAAGAATGGACAAATCGCTTAAGGACCTTGGCAACTCGGTCAAGCGCGTGCGCAGGACCGCCAAAAATGAATTGCTGCTAGAGCTTAAAAAGGCTTCAGAAAGTAACACGGTGGGCTTTCAATCAGCAGTGATTAGCGTGCTTGGTGACTCAGTACGTGTGGCAGCACTGACTCATAGCAAAACGGTGGTCATCAAAGACCTGGATGAAATCACGTCTGAACAAGAGATTTGCGAAACTCTTCGTCTGGGAAGTGGCATAAATAACTTGGAGAAAGGCAATGTCCGTATGGTGGGCGGTAAGCAACGGGGCTTACAAATAGCGTTTGTAAAGCTCGCGGCGTCAGATGCCGATAAATTGCTAAACACTGGGAAAATTCGCATCGGCTGGTCAATCTGCCGAATCATGGAATGTGTGGAGCCGAAACGCTGTATAAAATGCTGGCGTTTTGGTCACATAGCTGCAAACTGTAAATTTCCGGAAGATCGTAGTAAGTCTTGCCGAGGATGTGGTGAGGAAGGCCATTTTGCTGCTGCATGCAGCAAGGACAGCAAATGTATTCTATGTGGAGGCAAGCACGCTGTTGGAAACGCTCGCTGTCCAGAGTTCAAGAAGGCGGTAGAGAAAGTGCGCAAATGAGGATTGTGCAAATCAATCTGAATCACTGCAGACCGGCACAGGACCTGCTTTTCCAATCGGCTTACGAGCGAAATATGGATATAGCTCTACTGTGTGAACAATATCATGATGTAGGAAACTCCTCGTGGATTTCAGACTCCTCCGGTAAAGCAGCAATATGGTCCGCAAATGGCAGGGCCTTTCAATGCTCTACTACAGTCAGCCGACGTTTTTTTACCTGTGTCAAGGTAGATGAGATATTTTTGTTCTCTTGTTATGCTCCTCCTAGTCTGGACTTACAGGAATTTGAGCAGCTACTCTCCGAAATCGTGACAGAAGCCAGGGGCAAGTCTCCGCTTATCCTGGCTGGCGACTTCAACGCTTGGTCTACTTCCTGGGGTAGCAATCACACCAACGCTAGAGGAAGAGTGCTCATGGAATGGTTCTCTCAACTAGATGTTGTGCTTCTGAACACTGGCGAACATACATTCGAAGCAGGCCGGAATCGGTCTGCCATCGACTTGACATTTGCTCACGACACGATAGCACAAAGTATGAAATGGTCAGTTGGAGACATCTATTTGCATAGCGATCATCGCGCAATTATCGTCGAACTCTGCACACCACCAGTGCGTAGTAGAAATGTCTGCTTAAAACGTAGATGGAAACATCGACTCTTCGATGAGGATATCTTCAAACTGGTCTGGAGCGATAACGTGGAGTACCCAGAGTCTGCTGCTAGCATGGCGCAGGCGGTGACCTCCAAACTAATTGCAGCGTGCGACGCGGCAATGCCCCGAGCGTCATGTAGACCAGCTAGAAAACTAGCCTATTGGTGGACTGAAGAGATCGCTCGTTTAAGAGGCGACTGCATCAGAGCAAGGCGCGTCGCTCAACGAAACCGTAACTGCGCAAATTGGCAACAGTTTCACGACAACTACGTAGAATGCCGCAAGGCTTTGAAGAAGGAGATTAAGCAGAGCAAGCAGCGCTCTTTCAGGGAATTATGTCAGAGTGCTGAAGCTGACCCCTGGGGGAATGCCTATAAGGTGGTAATGTGCTCGATTCGGGGCAATAGAGCACCCCAACCTATGGATCCGCTGGTAATTGACCGTATAGTTACTACGCTATTTCCTTCGATGGACGACAGGGAGTTTTTCTTTGATCCCCGACCTCGATTGGTTACAATACCTCAGGTCACAGTCAATGAGATAAATGCTGCTATGAAGCGTATGAAGAACAACAAGACTCCTGGCCCAGACGGCATTCCTAGTGTTGCTGTCATTGCAGCAATTAAAGCTGATCCAAATGTATTCGCAAACTTGTTTACAAAATGTCTGGAAGAAGGAGTTTTTCCAAGCCCTTGGAAAAAGCAAGATCTGGTCCTGCTTCCTAAACCAGGAAAACAACCGCAGGATCCAACAGCGTACCGACCAATATGCTTGTTGGATGAACTCGGGAAAACCCTTGAGTCTATCATGGTCAACCGCTTGCACGAATATCTGGAACGACATGGAGGACTTAGTGAGCGGCAATTCGGTTTCCGAAGAGGCAAGTCTACGCTTCATGCCATTGACATAGTTGTCAAAATAGCCCGCGCTGCCACTAGCGGAGAACGATGGAAAGGAGGTACCAAAGAGTACTGTGCGGTGGTGACGCTAGATGTCAAAAACGCTTTTAACACAGCTAATTGGTCGAAGATATCACAAGCACTCAATGAATTTGGGGTCCCATGGTACCTCAGGAGAATGGTGCACAACTACTTTAGTGGTAGATGGCTTCAGGTCCAGACTGACGATGGAATCAAGCAGTACACGGTTACTTGTGGTGTTCCGCAAGGCTCCGTACTTGGTCCTGCATTGTCATCCTTCCAGAGAATTGCACAAGCGTGGCCTACGCTGATGACCTTGCAATCGTTGTTGTTGCGAAAACGATAGAGGAAATCACGGAGCGGTGCTCAGCAGCTGTTGATAAGGTAACCAGTTGGCTTTGTGAAAACGGACTGAAACTGGCGGTTCAAAAAACGGAAGCTGTGCTACTCAGTACACGGAAAAAACGGGAAGTCTTCTCGTTTTCAAGCGGTGGTTTCGAAATTACATCGAAGTCATCCCTGCGGTACCTGGGTGTTATCATAGATACCAGGATTACTTTTAGAGACCATCTAAGGGCGGTAAATGAGAAGGCGACTAAAGTCACTGTTGCCCTCTCACGACTCATGGCAAACACCTCGGGTATACGATCCACCAAGCATAAACTCCTGGCAAGAGTCACCAGCTCGGTAATATTGTATGCAGCTCCCATCTGGGCTTCTGCTATGCGAACGAGATCATACGCTGCAGGCACAAAAAGCACGTACCGGCTAAGCGCGCTACGTGTAATCAGTGCTTTCCGCACTGTATCGGACGATGCTGCATGCGTTATAGCAGGCATGCCGCCGCTTGATCTGTTGGCCTACGAACTTCGAGAGATCTGGCACAGTAGATTGTCGAAGGATGAGGCACGAAGCATTTCCATGATTACATGGCAACAACGGTGGAATGACTCGATGAAAGGGAGGTGGACATATACCCTGATCCCAAATCTTGATGCGTGGGTACACAGGTCGCATGGTGAGGTAGATTTCCATCTCACTCAGATCCTAACCGGACATGGAGTCTTTAAACAGTACCTTCATCGTTTCAAACACGAAGAAGATCCGTTTTGTCCTAGCTGTGAAAGGGTCGCTGAGGATGCAAACCACGTTCTTTTCTCTTGTCCACGTTTTAACGAAGTCAGAGCAGAGATAAGTGAGGCTATTGGCGAGCCTATTTGCCCGGGAAATTTAATTTTAAAAATGCTTAACTCGCCGGATATTTGGCGATTGATATCGACCGCTGC